GGCTGGCACTGGCACGGTGACACCCGCGGGGTTGGCATGGGCACGGTGACACCCGCACGGTGACACCCATGGGGCTGGCACTGGCACGGTGACACTGGCGAGGCTGGCATGGGCACGGTGACACTGTGGGGCTGGCACTGGCACGGTGACACCCGCACAGTGACACCCGCGGGGCTGGCACCCACACGAGGGACGAGGGGACAGCGGTGGGAAAAGGGGGACAGGGACAAATGTGGGACAGGGACAATGGCGACAGGGACAATGTGGGACAGGGAGAATGGGGACAGGGACAAGGTGGGCAGGGATGGGGACAAATGGGACAGGGATGGGAACAAGAGAGGGACAATGGGGACAGGGCCATGGGGGTGACAAGGCCAAGAGGACAGGGACAAGGGAGTGACAGGGACAATGGGACAGGAACAATGGGACAAGGACGAGGGAGGGACAGGGACAAGGGGGTGACAGGGCCAAGGGGACAGGGAAAACGGGGACAGGGAAAAGGGGGTGAAAGGGACAATGGGACAGGGACAAACGGGACAGGGACAAGTGGGACAGGGACAATGGGACAAGGATGAGGGAGTGACATGGACAAATGGGGACAGGGAAGATGAGGACAGGGACCAGGGGGTGACAGGGACAACGGGACAGGGACAAGGTGGGCAGGGATGGGAACAATACAGGGACAATGGGGACAGGGCCAAGGAGGTGACAGTGCCACGGGGGTGCCAGGGCCACAGGGGTGACAGGGACCAGGGGGTGACAGGGACAAATGGGACAGGCCAAACGGGACAGGGCCAAGGAGGTGCCAGTGCCACGGGGGTGCCAGGGCCACGGGGGTGCCAGGGCCGGGCCGCACCGTGGTCGGTGGCCGTGGCCATGGCCCCCACGGCGTCGGTGCCGATGAAGTAGCTCTGGCTCAGGTTCGGGAAGCGGCGCTGCAGCTCCTCCCTCAGCTTCTCCACGGCCTCCGGCTGGTCCCCTCCGCTCAGCGACAGCCCCTGCCGCGCCCGGGGACACCGTCACCGTCACCGTCACCGTCACCGTGCCAGCCGGGGGTGGCAGGGGCGCGGGGACAGCGCCGGGGGCTCACCAGCGAGCGCAGCGGCTGCCGGGGGTCGGCGCCCGCCCGGCTCTTGGCCTCGCTGACCATGCGCTCGATCCGCTCCACGCACGTCTCGGGGCCCACGAGCTGGGACACGGCCAGGGACACCCTGAGGCCACCCCGCTGTCGCCTCGGGGGTTTTGGGCACCTTGAGGTGCTGCCCCAGGGGGTCCCAGGTGGGGGTTTGGGTGTGGGGGCACCGGGGAGTTGCCTGAGGTGGGTGCGGCCCATGCGGGTGAACGTGGGATGGGGACAGCCAGGAATGGTGAGAACGCTGTGTGACCCAAACCCTGCTCCGTGTCCCAAACCCTGATCCGTGTCCAAACTCTGCTCTGTGACCCAAACCCTGCTCCGTGTCCAAACTCTGCTCTGTGTCCCAAACTCTGCTCCATGTCCAAACTCTGCTCCGTGTCCCAAACCAGCTCCGTGTCCCAAACTCTGCTCCGTGTCCCAAACCCTGCTCTGTGACCCCAAACTCTGCTCCATGTCCCAAACTCTGCTCTGTGACCCAAACCCTGCTCTGTGACCCCAAACCCTGATCCGTGTCCCAAACCCTGCTCCGTGTCCCAAACTCTGCTCCGTGTCCCCAAACCCTGCTCCGTGTCCAAACTCTGCTCTGTGACCAAACTCTTCTCTGTGTCCCAAACCAGCTCCGTGTCCCCAAACTCTGCTCCGTGTCCAAACTCTGCTCCGTGTCCAAACCCTGCTCCGTGTCCAAACTCTGCTCCGTGTCCAAACTCTGCTCCGTGTCCCAAACCAGCTCCGTGTCCCAAACCAGCTCCGTGTCCCAAACTCTGCTCCGTGTCCAAACTCTGCTCTGTGACCCAAACCCAGCTCCGTGTCCCAAACTCTGCTCCGTGTCCCAAACCAGCTTCGTGTCCCAAACTCTGCTCCGTGTCCCCAAACACTGCTCCGTGTCCCAAACTCTGCTCTGTGACCCAAACCAGCTCCGTGTCCCAAACCCTGATCCGTGTCCCAAACTCTGCTCCGTGTCCAAACCCTGCTCCGTGTCCCAAACCAGCTCCGTGTCCCAAACCCTGCTCCGTGTCCAAAACTCTGCTCCGTGTCCCAAACCCAGCTCTGTGTCCCAAATCTCACTCTGTGTCCCCTATCTCGTTCCATGTCCCCCACCCCACTCTGTGGGGTGTCCCCCACCCCACTCTGCTCTGCTCTGTGTCCCAAACCCTACTACATGTCCCAAACCCATTTCCATATTCCACACCCAGCTCCATGTCCCAAACCCATTTCCATATCCCACACCCAGCTCCATGTCCCAAACCCATTTCCAGGTCCCAAATCCTGCTCCATGTCCCAAAACCATCTCTGTGTCCCACACCCCACTCCATGTCCCAAACCCAACTCCATGTCCCAAATCCATTTCCAGGTCCCAAATCCTGCTCCGTGTCCCAAACCCATTTCCGTGTCCCAAACCCATCTCTGTGTCCCACACCCCATCTCCATGTCCCAAATCCTGCTCCATGGCCTGAACCCATTTCCGTGTCCCACACCCCACTCCATGTCCCAAACCCATTTCCAGTCCCAAATCCTCCTCCGTGTCCCAAACCCATTTCCAGGTCCTAAGTCCTGCTCCATGTCCCAAACCCATTTCCAGTCCCAAATCCTCCTCCGTGTCCCAAACCCATTTCCATTTCCCAAATCCCGTTCCCTGTCCTAAACCCTGCTCCGAGTCCCAAACCCATTTCCATATCCCAAACCCCACTCCGTGTCCCAAACCCATTTCCAGGTCCTAAGTCCTGCTCCATGTCCCAAACCCATTTCCGTGTCCCACACCCCACTCCATGTCCCAAACCCATTTCCAGGTCCTAAAAATCCCACTCCATGTCCCAAACCCATTTCCACGTCCCAAACCCATTTCTGTGTCCCAAACCCATTTCCAGTCCCAAATCCTCCTCCGTGTCCCAAACCCATTTCCGTGTCCCACACCCCCCTCCATGTCCCATACCCAGCTCCATATCCCCTGTCCCCATGTCCCTGTCCCCGTGTCCCTGTCCCCGTGTCCCTGTCCCCGTGTCCCTGTCCCCCTCCCCACTGTCCCGTGTCCCTGTCCCAGTGTCCCAAACCCCATGTCCCCGTGTCCCTGTCCCCCTCTCCCATGTCCCTGTCCCTCTCCCCCCTGTCCCGTGTCCCTGTCCCGTGTCCCTGTCCCCCTCCCCGCTGTCCCGTGTCCCTGTCCCCCTCTCCCATGTCCCTGTCCCCTCCCCGGGGCTGTCCCCCTCCTCACCCAGTGGTTGGTGCAGGGTCCCTCTGCCTCGGCCACGATCTGCCCCTCCGCGGACACCAGCACCACCCTGGAGCGGGTGCCCCCGCTGCGGAGAGAGGAGGGGGGACACTGCCGGCACCCCCCCGCTGCCCCCCGACCCCCGGAGCGGGGGGACCCCGCCTCCCACCCCCCCTCGGGGTCACTCGGGGGGTGCTGACCCCCGCGCGGGGGGCAGGAGCCGGGCAGGGGGGTCCGTCCGAACCCCCTCCATGGGCTGCGCACCCCGGGGTGGGGATGGGGAGCGGAGCCCCCCGGGGTGGGGGAACCGGAGACACCCGGGGTGGGGGTACCGGATGGGGAGCGGAGCCCCCCGGGATGGGGGAACCGGAAACCCCCCGGGATGGGGGTACCGGATGGGGAGCGGAGCCCCCCGGGGTGGGGGTACCGGAGCCCCCCGGGATGGGGGTACCGGATGGGGAGCGGAGACCCCCGGGGTGGGGGTACCGGAGACCCCCGGGATGGGGGTACCGGATGGGGAGCGGAGACCCCCGGGGTGGGGGTACCGGAGACCCCCGGGGTGGGGGTACCGGAGACCCCCGGGGTGGGGGTACCGGAGCCCCCCGGGATGGGGGTACCGGATGGGGAGCGGAGACCCCCGGGGTGGGGGTACCGGAACCCCCCGGGATGGGGGTACCGGATGGGGAGCGGAGACCCCCGGGGTGGGGGTACCGGAGCCCCCCGGGGTGGGGGTACCGGATGGGGAGCGCAACCCCCCGGCCCCGCCGCGCCCCTCACCCCTCCACGCCACCGAACAGCGCCGCCATCGCCGCCGGCCCCGCCCCCGGTCCCGGTCCCGCCCCCCGGTCCCGGTTCCGCCCCCCGGTCCCGGTCCCGCCCCCCGGTCCCGGTTCCGCCCCCCGGTCCCGGTTCCGCCCCCCGGTCCCGGTTCCGCCCCCCGGTCCCGGTTCCGCCCCGGGGCGTGGCCACACCCGCCCCGGTTATTGAGAATTGCCGCGCCCCGGCCACGCCCCCTCGCGTGGCTCCGCCCACGGCCACGCCCATCTCCATATATGGGCACAGAGTGGCGCCATCCCTGCCCGTGGCCACGCCTCCCGCGCTGGCTCCGCCCCCCGCCCGTTCCCGGGCTCGGTGTCCCCTCCCTGTCCCCTCCCTGTCCCTTTGCTGTCCCTTCCGTGTCCCCTCCCTGTCCCCTCCCTGTCCCTTCCGTGTCCCCTCCCTGTCCCTCCCTGTCCCTTCCGTGTCCCCTCCCTGTCCCTTCCTGTCCCTTCCCGGTCCTTTCCGTGTCCCCTCCCTGTCCCCTCCCTGTCCCTCCCTGTCCCTCCCTGTCCCTTCCCGGTCC